CCCACGAGGAGCCCACAGAGGTCTGGGATTAGATCCCACTTTGAAGCAAAGAGGCCTGTCCTTTGGCACCCTGCATAGGATTATCTTTGGACCTGGGCTGTCCTCAAGCAGGGGAATAACTTTGGGTAAGGCAATTCTTTCAGGAAATTAAAGACAATTCCAGAGGAGGGACTCATGTATAAGCCACCAGAAGACAACATTTCCCAAAACTGGAAGAATGAGTGCCTTGGTCCTGGATGGGAGATCCGCATGGCATCTACTACACTTACCTAAAGCAGTAAGGGAGAGGCTAGGAGGTGCTGAGAGATTATGGGGTGTTCATGATTTGAGGGGACATAAATGTATGGCAGTGAAGGCTAGAAAGAGCCTGGAAGCAGATAGATGGGCCAGATGCTAAGAGCTTGAATGCCAGGACAAGGATGTAAAGATCTATCCCTCATGCCAAGGAGAGCTGTCAAAGGTTTTAGGAAGATTATTTTGGGGTTGTGAAGAGACTGTGCAGTCCCAATAGGGTCCTATTTTCCAAAGTGTTCACTTTGGCTGCCTCTCCCACAGATTGCTCCTAACTGGCTTGCTCTGGCCAAGTCACATACACCATCTCCCCCCTCCTCCAAATTGGCTCCCTTCAAATTGTCGCTCCCTACAGTGCTGCATTCATACATCAGTTCTAAATAGTCCCACTGTTCAGCATTAAGGAGAAGTAATACCAATTCCCATGTTTGCTCAGAGAGCACCATGTTTCATCAAACCAGAGCCCATGCCGGCTCAGATTACTGACCGAGACAATGTTCTGTAATCCTGGTTTATTCACATGTCACGGGTATTTTAGCAAAACAGAAATGAATGGCCACACTACCCTAGGAAGTAACAGGAAAGTTGGGTTCCGGCCCAGGGGAAGTAATGCTTTCTATTGCCACAGTTCTTGGAGGAACCAACTTTTATTCTCTGAATTTCTCCCAAATTTAAGAAAGAGAATATGGGCTGAGGAGGAGTCAAAAGGGGATAGTTATTTCCCTATAAAATGTTAACTCCACAGATGGATTTTGCCAGAGCAAAAATAAAATCTGTCATTGATTATAAAGTCCCTGTGCTTGTTATTTAATGGATTTATTACACTCTGGCCCAGAGGCCTGGGGAGGCCCTGGGATTCTTGTCTCTACCACTCCAACAAGTGCTTCAGCCACTTCTTCAAAACTCTCACCCCACCTAGGAACAGGGACTCACATTTCTTTTTTTCTTTAAGGACAACAAGCTTTGAACACCTAGATGAAGTGTCCTTGAAAGCCTTCCGACACAGACACAAAGATACTGATAATAAGTTTGTTGGTGGAGGTCTGTGACTTCTTAACTAAGGAAGCATTCTCTCTCCTTTTCCTTTTCTTTTCAGCCTTTGGCAATGTGCATTAAGAAATGTGTTTCTGTCGTGGAACGAGGAACAGCCGGGAGTGAACTTCTCACCCAACCTCCTGGATTCTAGGTTCACTTTAAAGAGGCTTCTAAACAACTGCTCCTAAACACACTATAAATAAAAATAGCAGTAACAATAGTCCATGCAATTTAGTACACAGGAGGGTGTGAAGTGTTTGAGGTGAAACAAGAGGATACTGGGGTTTAAGAGAAGCAATGGAGTTGATCCAGGGTTACACAGCTAGTTAGATCCATGACCTGACTCTGCCACAGATTAACTGGACAACATCATCAAACAATTGCTTGGGAACACTTGATTTGGTGCTTATTTGCAAGAGTTTCTGGATGAAACCAAATGAGCTTGCATCTCTGAACTGTCTAGAATTTTCAGTTTTCCTTAACTTGGGCACAGAACTTTGTACTGTTAAGCCTCATAACTCCTTCCCTGAAGTTTTCTGAGCTTCAGTAAACCCTGCTACCTTACTTAGGGCCCCAAAGCCAACCTTCCACTTCTCTGAAGAGTTCACTCTTCATCCCTGTCGGCAAGTTCAAGACCCCAGTGGCCCTAGTTTAGGTACAGTGCATGTTGCTCCCAGGATCAGAATAATTTCAGTAGGAAGCTGTCAGAAATCATAGATCTGAGGACTTCAATCCATTTCTACCCTTATTTTGAGCTGCAGCTTGAGCTATTAAAAACAAAACATTCAGGTTGGCAAGCACCACAATTAGCCTCGTTTTCACACTGGAAACACTGTTCTGCATGAGCTGAAATTGCACGGTGATTGTTTCTTGTCTGCTGTAGCAATGCTGTTCGCAGGCCATGCTGGGAGCCAGCGAGGATGTGACCCGGTGGTAATCTGAATTGCTTCACCAAACACATTTTTATCCCATCATCTCGGCTACATGAAAGAGGACCTTAGTGCTCCAGTGTTCAAGACTTTACAGTCCTGCTGTTCAGCAATAAAACAAGGAAAGAAATATTAGCCATCCCCAGCTGATACCTTAATTCTTTCCCATCAATGTCAGAGAATCTGTACCCTACAGGTTTAGTGCTGACCCTCAGTGCTGGCATGAATAGAGAGGGAATGAGTTAAGAAGAGCAAGAAGGCTTTAATGGACACAGATCCCAAATAGTCCAGCTTGTCCCGGCCTCCCGCAGACACCCTCCTTTTCACAGGCTTCGATTGTGTATGGCCCCAGCAGAGACAAAACTATCCATGAGCAGGGGTGACCCCCAGCCGCTGTGGGTCAGAGCCATTCTGGGGGAGACAAGAAGAGGGGGGCTGAGGGGAAGTGAGGGGCATATGGAGAAGGAAGGGATGGAGGGGGTGTTGAGGGGAAGGGAGCGCTGAAAGATGGTCTGGATCATTTATAAGGAGAGATTAATAAAGTCAAAGGCTGCAACTTTATCATATCACCCCCAAGCAAAGAGTTTTTGAAAACCGTCCCACAGATCCAACAGGAGCTATATTAATGGGAAGTTAACTGCGAGGTGAGCAAATTTTCAAAATAAATAAAATGCTTCTCTATGGGTTTCCAAGAGCTACAGGCCTGAGATTTAGAGGTGCTCAATAAGATGACCTCTAATTTGACACTGCAGGATTAAAAAGAAAAAATTACAAATGGGTTGTGTTTTACACACCAACAGAAGTTTTTTCCAGCAATTTTTCAATTATTGCATTGTGAACCCTCCAAGAAAAGTAACTATTTTGGCTCACAGAGCTTGAAGTTACTGAGTAAAGGGAACAGCGTGTTCACAAGTTTACAAATAGTCCTTTGAAATGTAGAATAGACCGTCTTCCAGAGCCTTCTGGAAGAACATGGGTTTGAAGAGGTTCTTTCCTTCTCTCTGGAGGATTCTTAAACTTTTGGGGTGGACTTTGGACCTCTTTCCAAGTCTAGTGAAACCTGGAGATTCTACTCAAAAGAATGTTTTTAAATGCATTAAAAATAAAGTAAAATACATAAGGTTACAAATGAAGCCAATTACATTAGCCAATTTTTTAAACAACTTTGCAACATAGCCTCCTTGTAAACTCTCTAAAGAACTTGCCAAAGGCTTAACTACCCTAACTTCAAAGTAGGAAGAGCAAAAAACGATATTTTGAGATATCTACAGCAATACCTGTCACTTCTATTGGTGACAAAGTAACAGGTATGGCTAATATCACTGGAGTTGGTTGACTACATATACAATACCAGGAAATGCTGAGTGGTACAAACTGTTAATGTGTTCAGCTGCTAACTGAAAGGTTGGAAGTTCAAGTCCATCCAGAGATGCTTCAGAAGAAAGGCCTGGCTATCTGCTTCTGAAAAATCAGCTATTGAAAACCCTATAGAACATAATTCTAATCTGACACACTTGAGGTTTCTGTAACTTAGTAATTGGTTGCTGGTTTTAAATTTCAGTTACAGGTTAGTGAAAATGAAGATGATTTTTCCTCATCCAAATCCTGGAACTCCTTGAATTCTACCCATGGACAAGAAACTCTGCTAGAGACAAGATGAAGTTGAGGATCTTCTGCACTCAGGGGAGGTGGGCTACGGATTCAATACACATTCCCTTCATTGTGAAATCGTATTGTGGAAGTCACTTTCCCTCCTACTACTCAGGTGTTCTCAAAATATTTTTTAAAAAAAACAAAATGAAAGCATGTCCTTTTTCCTGCAGTTCTAAAGGCTACATATGCAACGATTAATAAGAACCTTTGATAGGTTTCTTCAACAACTGGAATCATTGCTGCCATATAAAGGGTCGTTAATTAATTAATTTTGAAATTTAATCAGGATCACGTTCCAGTTGCCTTGTGTCGGCTGAGCTCTGGGGTGACAGCTTTTCTTTTCAGAGCCTGTCCAGATAGGGGCACACTTGCATTTTGGACACACACTGGCTCTGGAGTAACTGGGGGCACACCCATATCCTCTGGACTCCCTACGGGGGAGCAGTCTTCTTGCAACTACACAACCATCGCATCCGATTGCAATGGTAACCACGCAGGCAGGCCCACCTCCAAGGGGCGCCCAGCCAACTGGGGCTCCACACACACGGCTGGACACACGGAGCCTAGCCTTGTACCTCGGTCTCCGGCTCTCCGCAGGGGATTGGGGAGCGCGCTCGCCCACGCCGCCACATTCGCGGGCGCACACCCCGGCGCGCGCACGCCGCCACTCACTGCCTCACGCACATCTCAGCCAGTCCAGGGACAGTCTGTCGGCGGCAGCCCCAAGGGGTCTAGGGCGTGCAGTCTGATTACCCCCACCCTGAAGGCGCTGCTGGCCGCCCCGCCCCGTCCCGCCTCCCGAAGCCCGGCGCGTAGTGGGCTGCAAAGTTTCACTGCGCGGGTCCACAGAAGCAACGCGCCTGCTGGGGTTCAGCTCGGCTCTGTCAGGCTCGGGACAGCGGTGACTACTGGCGACGGCTCGCGTGGCGTGGACTGACCATACGCCTGGCTGGCGCACCTCACTCTGTCCGCGCGGGTGCCCCACGGGTGCCCTGCGCGCCTTCCAGCCCCGGGCTGGGACCGTAACCTCCGGGGCGCCGGCGCTGTCCCTTCTACTCCGCCGCTCTGGCCCTTCGCTGCCCCCACCTCGCCATGGCCAGTGGCCCCGCTTGGACAAGCTCGGGCCTGGGGCCCCAACTGCTTCTGCTGCTGCCACTGTCGCTGCTGCTGCTGCTCCGGGACGCAGGCGGCAGCCACACAGGCCCCATCCGGCCCGCGCCGCTGGTGGCAGCCAAGGGCCTGGAAGGGGACAAGGACCCCCAGCAGCCCTTGGGGGACGCAGCAGCCGCGCTGGGCCCTGGCGCCCAGGACATGGTCGCTGTCCACATGTTCAGGCTCTATGAGAAGTACAGCCGGCGGGGAGCCCGGCCCGGAGGGGGCAACACGGTCCGCAGCTTCCGGGCTCGGCTGGGTAAGTAGAGGCTGATCTAGAGCCTCCCCCCTCATTCTCCCCCTTCCTCACAGAGCCATACCCCTAAACACACACCCACTTTCTCTTGTCCCTCTATTCTTTGACGTCTTTATTCATTCTTTCACTCACTTTTCACCGAGCTGCAAACCTCCAGAGGGAGCACCAAGGTGGCAGAGTTCCTGTTCCTGGAGTGCCCCTAAGCTTCTGAGGACTGCACTTCACTTCACACAGACCATTAAGACACTAGTCTTTAATCCCACAATGGAGATGGCACCAGGCTGGGGGCCAGGAAGTGCTCCTTGGGAGACAGGGAATCTTCCACATCATATGGGTCTGTTGTGTAGGCTATTGAGGGTAAGAAGGGCACATCAGGTGGGTAAATGGCAACCCCAAGAGAAGTGCCTACCATAGGCCCAGGTGGAGGTGTGAACTTCTAGCCTGGGAGCAGTTGGCAGTTTTGATGGAAAAATCAAAGTGAATCAAGAAATGCTTGGGATGCCTGCTGAAGGGACTAGATGATGTCCATTGCCACCAGCATGAGGTTTTCAGACCTCAGGGTTTGGAGGAAGAGTCCAGAAGCTCTGAGCAGTGGAGGCATCCTGTTTCTCTCCTGTCCTAACTCTGACAGATCCATACCCCTTCCCACACTTTCTATTACCTGCATAGAGGCCTTGCCCAGAGGCCCTGGGGCCTCACTGCCAGGTTCCAAGAACACTTTCTGAGATCAGCCTCAGCAATCTTGTGCCTGAGACTGGGCTGCACTCACAGGCTCTGCACAACCACAGGAGTGGTGAGAAAACCCTGTTGTCATGGTGACTACTCGTGACTGCAGAATGCCTTTCTTAAAAATGTGGATGGGGATTACCTGCAGCCCTTGAGGGGAAGTAGGCCATTCACCAGGAAAAGGATACCCAGCCTTCGGGGTTCTCTCCTAGGTGGAGAAGAATAAGCCCAGAGATGGAATAAGACCTCTTGAGTCGCATTTGTCACCTGCTGCTCACTGGCTATACAACTTGAGGCCAGGTGTGGAAAGCTTGGCCTTGGAAAACTAAACTGGGAAGCACCTGCCACAGAAAGCCTCCATCCCACCATTTTCCACTAGCCAGTGTTCCATGAGCTCCAGGCCAACCAGATCTTTTATCCTTCCTGGTACCTTTTATGCAGGACTCTGCAGCATTAGCATTTAAGGAAACCATTTCAGAATCATCAGTCATGAGCTTTGGGTCAACTGCTAAAGCTCTATGGACATCAGTGTCCCTGTCTATGAAATGGACAGGATATAGCAGTACCTCCCTGTGGAGCTGCAGAAAAGATTAAATATGTAAGCCCCTGACACCACTGGCCAGATTAGGTCTCAGTGCACAGCATACTCCTCCGATCACAAAGCATTATGCTAAGAACTTTGTGTTTGTGTGGGTTTAAACATGACCTTGCTTCAGAAGTAATGTTCATTAACTCAGTCCTTCCTGGAAGCCTTGGAATTGAGAAAAGCAAGGCCAGACAGTTCACTGCTTCAACCGGGGTTGAGCATGCACCACTGAACCAATCAATCGCCTTTTGCAGCCCTTGGTATGGAGGTGCACAGGTCTGTGCTTCCATTTTCACAAAAATAGAGTAGTAGAAATAACAGTGAAGCACAAAATAGTAATCTCCACCCATCCACCTCAGCCCCCAAGATCTGGCGACAGTACAACAAATCCAGCACTCTCATTTTACAGGTAAGGAAACTGAGGCCTCGGATGGGGCTGCTGTTCACAGTGACAGTGTCTGGCATCTCCCGTCTGTCAAGCCAATGCTATTTCCCCTGCCTTTGTCCTCCAGCAGAAATAAGCCCAAGACCTGAGTGAAGGATGAAGAACACATGATTCTGAGAGATCAAGATAACCATGGTAGAGTCTGGAACTGTCTGACACATCAAGCACACTTCTTTGAAACCATTAGGCAGATATGAGTATGAATCCCAGCTTATGCACCTGCTGGCTGTGTGTGTGACACAAGTCATTGTGCCTCTCTGAGTTCCAATGTCCTGTCTGTGCAGTGCAGCCGTGAGGATTAAGTGGGGTAAGGTGACCTTTGTGTTTAGCATAGAGTGGGGGCCCAGACTGGATTGTTTCTCCTCCTCCCCTTGATTCATTTGAGCTGGTTTATACCTAACCCTTACCAGTTTCCAGCTGTGCCCACTCCATGATCCAGTGTCCCAGCGGGGAGGAGGCACACATCTAGGCAGGGATCCCTTATCTTATGGATGAGGCTCTAATTGTGGGAGGTTCCAGCCCGTCCTGGAATGTGTTCACACAGTTTCCAGAGTCAGCCTGCCTAGTTTAAATCCCGATTGTACCACTGACAAGCTATAGGGTTTAGGCAAGTCATTGAGTCTCTCCGTGCCTCACTTTCCTCCTCTGTAAACCAGGTAGGATATGTGTATGTATCTGCTGGAGTGGTTGTGACAATCAAGTGAGTAGTAAAACTAGTAGTTAAGTAGTAAAGCTCCTCAGCAGGGTGGCATCTCTCCCTGAACAAGTGAATCAGGCCCTGCAGCCCTCGGTGTGACAGCTTGTGTTCGTTGCATGCCCCAGGCAGCAGAGCTCAGCTTCAGAGTATTGGCTGTGAAAGTGGGCCAGCTGAGTCCAAATCATTATTCAGCTGCTTTCTGTATGATCTAGGCAAGGGATTAAACTTGTCCATGAGTCAGTCTTTTTCCATATAAAACGTGACTAATGATACACCCTACCATAGAGTTGAGATAGTCATGTGCTTAAAACATGCCTGGCACATGTAAGTGTTGATGGTTTCTCATCTATTGCTATTATTCCACTGGAGTCCTTGGGTGGTGCAAACAGTAGCTTGCTTGGCTGTTAACCAAAAGGTTGGAAGTTTGAGTCCATTCAGAGGAACCTCAGAAGAAAGGTCTGGTGATCTGAAAAATCAGCCATTGAAAATCCTAGGTAGCAGAGTTCTGCTCTGACACACATAGGATCGCCATGAGTCAGAGTCCACTTGACAGCCACTGGTTTATTTATTATTATTATTATTATTATCATTATTAAATTAGCTACCCATCTCATCCCTCTCTCCCAGTGCTCCATGAAGTACTCAGTGTTCCCTATTAAATCGGCATCAGTGGAGTATGCCTTGAAGCCTGATCCTAGAGGTTAAGGTTAGACTTTATCCTGCTTCCTGAATGACTTGTGTTTAACTCTAAGCATTGCCACTTACCCCTGTGATACTGGGCAAGTACCTAATCTCTCTGAGCTTTGATTTCTTCATCTCTAAAATAAGAGTAAAAGTACACCCCCATCTGTCCAAATGCCAAAAGTGAAGCTCACTTCAGTTCCCCAAGTATTACTAAGCATGTAGTTAGGTAGCAGGCACTGTAAGCTCAGAGGCTATAAAGATGAATGGAATATTGGCAGAGCCCCAGAGGAGTCCAAGAACTGACAGGGAAGACAGAAGTAAACAGAAGGATATGGGCCTGTGGGACAGGTGGTGCAGTGAATCGGAAATGGGATGTGGGGATAGATTCTGTGGAGCCTAGAGGAGCAGGCCCAGCCAAGAGTTGGGGGGGGGGGCGGCGCAGTACAACCTTCAGAGGAACGGAGTCCCAAGACAGACTTTGAAGGTCAAGTAGAGGTTAGCCAGGTGTGGAGTGAAGCCATCCACTGTATGCTGGAACCACTGAGTTTGGTTTTAATGAGGAACTGATGTGAGGCGAGGGGGCAGGAGATGAAGTTGGACAAATAGATGGTGGCCAAATGATAAAGAGCCTTGAGTTTCAGGCTTTTGGACTAGTGAACGTGCATCCAAGAGACAGAAAGAGAAAACATGTTTATAAAAGAAATGTATATTGTGGAAAGTCTGGAAATCACAGTAAAGAAAATAAGTCACTCCTAATAACATACGCAGACCAGTTGCCATTGAGTCAATTTTGACTATAAGTGACTCTATGTGTGTCAGAGTAGCCTGGGCACCATAGGATTTTCAATGGCTTATTTTTTAGAAGTAGATAGCTAGACCTTTCTTCAGAGGCACCTCTGAATGAACTAGAACCTCTAGCCTGTTGATTAGCAGCTGACCATATCAACTGTTTACACCACTGAGTGAGAGACACCTAACCAGAGCCACAGTTAATGTTAATATTTAGGTGGAATCCTTTGATGGATGGGTAGATAGATACATAGATCTCCATTATTTTTACCTTAATATTTTCAACATGCAGGTAAAACTTACTCCTTTTTCAAAATCACATTTTTTCCATTAAATAGTTTTCCATTAAATAGTTCAGGGTCATCCTGAACTATTTTTCATGCCTCTTGGTTATTTGCATATTCTCTGTGGAAGTTGCTTCCTCATATTGGGTTTCCTTGCTTTTTCTAATTGATTTGCAGAGGTTCTTCAGATTGTCAAGCTATTAAGCCTTCATCTCTGATAGATGATTTCTCTTTGAAGCATGAGTGAGTCCAGGAGATGAGAAGATCCAAGGATACTATTACAGTTGAAGCCAGTTGATGTCTGAGTGAGGCAGGGTGGAAGGATGCAGAATTCAGGATGGTTGTGGGGATGTGGGATGCAAACCAGCAGGAGTTGGAGAGTGATTAGATGCAAGAGAGGAAGGGCCCATGAGCATTTTCAGGTTCCTGCTAATGCGATTGGATGGTGGTGATGCCTCCAGCAGCCAGAACAAGGACAGGGAGTGAGTATGTGGTACCCAGAGTGTAGCCACCATGAGGCCATGTGGCCAGTTTGCACTGAGCACAGGTTGGGTACCAGCTCTGCCATAAACTTACAGGCAACCTCACTTGATCCTCACAACTGCTTCAGCAGATACATACACATATCCTGCCCGGTTTACAGAGAGGAAAGTGAGACACAGAGAGATTCTATGACTTGCCTAAACCCTATAGCCAGCCAGTGATGCCATTGGGATTTAAACCAGGCAGGCTGACTCTGGAAACTGTGTGGAAATAGACAATCAATACATATTACTTCCCTTCTTCTTCTTT